TTTCTACTGGACAGACTCGAAGAATGTTATAAGTTGGCTAAAAACTGATGCCACTGTCTTCAAACCATTCGTAGCTCATAGGGTAGCCGAAATAACAGAAACATCCGACTCAAAACAATGGAATTGGGTATCGACTAAGGACAATGTAGCTGATGAAGCAACCAGAGATGGAAAATACTTCCACTGTGGACCCGAAAATAGGTGGATGAACGGCCCAGACTTTTTGAAATTAGATGCAATGGAATGGCCATCTACAGAGTGTACAGAATTTGATACAACTGAGATCAAAAGGAGATTTGTGGGCGTATCATTCACTGAAGTATCTCTGAACGCATGTGAGTCTCTACCTGAAATCTCGAGATTTTCTTCTTGGCAGAAGCTCATCCGTACAACTGCTTGGATGCTGAGATTTGTAAATAAAGCTAAAAAGAATTCTCAATGCAATTCGGAGTTGATTCCAACAGAAATAAACACAGCTGAGAGACTCTGGATCAAGTATGTGCAATTAGAAGACTTTTATGAGGAAATTCAAGATATCAAGGAAGCTCAACATGTTGAATCCTCGTCTCGGCTATACAAACTATCACCGATGTTATGCTCAGAAGGTATATATAAAGATACTGGATATTGAATGTAAGATCAGCAGTAAGGAGTTCTTGGAGTAGCTGTCAATGGTGTAAAAACAGACGAGTGAAGATAGACGTACCAGAAATGAGCCCTCTTCCAGCTTCTCGATTACAATCTTTTGTAAGGCCTTTCACAATCACAGGGATGGATTACTTTGGTCCTCTGTTGGTAACGGTTGGTCGTAGAAAGGAAAAGCGTTATGGTGTCATATTCACTTGTATGAGTACCAGAGGAGTTCATTTAGAATTGGCCCATTCTTTGAGTACAGACTCCGCCATAATGACAATAAGAAGATTCATTGGCCGAAGAGGTTGCCCTAAGAAGATTTTCTCGGACAACGGAACAAATCTCCGTGGAGCAGAAAATGAACTTCGGAAGTCCCTGCAAGAACTTGACCAAGACAAGGTGATACTCGAGTTAACCTCAAAGAACATAGAATGGAATTTCATCAGTCCTTTGGCACCGCACATGGGTGGAAGCTGGGAACGTCTCATAAAATCTATCAAATTGTCTTTGGGAGCGGTTTTGAAAGAGAAAGCTCCTCGTGAGGAAGTACTACAAACCCTTCTTGTTGAAGCGGAAAATATTGTAAATAGCCGACCGTTAGTCCACGTATCATTAGACCATGCCGATGATGAAGCCCTTACCCCCAACCACTTCATACTAGGATCTTCAAGTTCTGCACAAACTCCAGGAACCTTCGATGAATCAGACTTAATTGGTAGGAAACATTGGCGGATATCCCAACTTCTAGCAGATCATTTTTGGCGACGCTGGATTAAGGAATATTTGCCAGTTCTCACGAAGAGAACTAAGTGGTTCAGGTCCTCGAAAAGGCAAATAAAAGTCAACGACATGGTGATTCTTATTGATGGCGACTTCTGTCGAAATACCTGGCCAAAAGGAATCGTTACATCTGTTTATCCAGGCACTGATGGAAACATCCGGGTAGTAGATGTTAAAACAGCATCAGGGACATTCAAGAGGCCAGTGGTGAAATTATGTATTCTTGATGTGGAACCAAATGGAGAGTAATGAACAGCAGTTCATCACTGGGAGGGAGTGTTCCTGCGGAAAGTTTATATTCTTTGGAATAAAGTTTATTCATATATGAATTTATCATTCTGTATAATTTTGTTGTGATTGAAGGTTGTTGTTGAATGTCAGTAAAAAACTAAAACATCTGTCTTGTCTGTGCTGATATTTTTCAAGTGAAAAACGGTTTCAAACCAGTGCCAAACTCCGAAACCTAGTGCAAACGCTCACAAGTACTTTATTTTGACGAGACCTACCAAATACTTGGTTTTGTGAAGTTCTCAGCAACTCCACTTAGCGCCCTAGGAGCTCAGTAACATGGATCGATATGGAAAATATCTCCAAAACATTAACGTCCAGCGTAATTAAGGCCCTTATAATAATTCCCTTGATACATAAATAACTATTCACTCTCCACTGATGTTAAATTTAAAATTTGGTCGGCACCAAAAACGCCATTCAATAATATATCACTTTGTAGTTTACTTGCTTTTCTTAGTTTCGTTTTCAAATTCTCAATTTCATTATGTAATTTTGCGATCATTTCCTCTTTTCCATGATTATTTTGTTTTGTATTTTGTATGATGATAATAATGGAATTTTGTTCTCGAATTCGCCTGCTTTGTAAATTGATGGAACAGCAGATTCTCACAAAAAGATTTTGAAATCTTCTGTTTGAAAATGGGCCTGAAATATAGTTTCATTCTAATTAGATGCTGTTATGAAAAGTGAATTTTAATGAGTACCTCACAAATTTCGCTCGTCTTCGAATTGATTTTGCACCCAGGCCATTTCATATCTTCCTTCCATAAGCGAATGGTTGATATTTGTTTCCGAAAATTGAATAAATGATATCCATTTTTTTCAGAATTGGCACAATTTATTACACAGCAAGTAATTTCCATAGCTGCTTTCATCTCGAATGTATAATTATGAAATTTTATTTCAATTCTGACGTTTATAAAATGTATTGTCAAATTCAAACAATTTCGAATGAAAAAGCGCGGGACGACTATGGTGCTCTTGTCACAATGCAAGGTGTGAAACTTAATAAATCTAAACATTCAAAAACCCTAACCGTTGTCATTTCTGTGTCCGAACTATTATCAAACTAATAACATCCAGTGACTCTAATGCGTACATAACCCCTCCTTTCATTTCCTGACATGAAGGCAATGGGCACATAGCTCCTTCCATTGCATCCTTGATATTTAATGTAACAGAGCCCCTTCTACCACTGTGTATCTGCTCAGTTATGAAGAATAGACACAAATCCTGACGGGACAAGTTACATTTGCACGTAACACCTTCTTCCATGACATAACCGAATATTTTCAGAAAATGTCACTTGACTCCTTCTTCCACTTGCCCCTTCAATTATTACCTATCTTGAATTGAGTATGGAGTAACAGTGTTTTGATACCATTGTGCTAAAGTAAGCGATGGTTGGAATTTTGATATCCTCATTTAGACTACTTGAATGGAAGAAGGGGTAGGCGCGGGTGTATATGGACCCGGATGTAGGCTATTTGAAGCCTTAGGTCACTCCCCCACTATCTTCCAAGCTGAAATACATGCCATCAACCTTTCGCACCCAAAGGTGCCTGAGCAAAGGTCTGAGGGGTGCCAATATATATATATATATCTGCTCAGACAGCCAAGCCGCACTAAAAGCCCTAAAATCATTCGTTTTCACATCAAAGATTACATGGGACTGCTTTGAAACACTCATGCAACTGGGAAAGGGCAACAAAGTCACACTTATGTGGGTTCCAGGGCATGAAGGAATCAAAGGAAATGAGGCAGCTGATCGCCTTGCAAAAAAAGGTGCAGCCTCTGCACTTTTTGGTCCTGAGCCTTTTTGTGGGATAAGCAAATGTCACCTAAAGGTAGAACTCGGGAAATGGGAAGAAATTGAAAAGTCTTCCTACTGGAGAGCAACTCCAGGTCAACGACAAGCGAAAAGGTTCATCAACCATTCGCAGAACCGAGCCAAAGAGCTAGTCAGCCTCAGCAAACCAGAGCTAAAGCTTATCACAGGCTTTCTCACAGGACACGGCCCTCTGAGGTACCACCTCAAAAAGATGGGTCTGGCGGAGACTGACACTTGCCGCTTTTGTAACAATGCGACCGAAACCGCGGAACACATACTTTGCTCATGTGAAGTATTAGTCCGCCAAAGGCTGAACCATCTAGAACAGGTCTATCTCACCCCTGCTGAAGTGGAAAAGTCAACCGTCAGGAAAATCGTAGGCTTCATCAGAAGTCTAGGGTTAGAGGACCAAAACTAGATAGGGGTAATCACAATAGATCTTCTATGTCGCAGTGATCGAGAGGTCTCCCAGCCTATACGACCCATCTACAATCTACTCTAGACTACTCGAAAGTAGATAACACCGAAGTGTATTTAGTATCTTGTAAAATATGACTGACAATTTATAAACAAAAACAATGACAAAAATCTATATGCTACCATGGCTGACGTGAAGTTCAATATAAGTAGGAGGAAAAAAAATTCATAATTATTACCCAATATTTCTGCCTAATTATTTTTCGTGAATTGGAGAATATTATACAATAGTATATTCTTCAACGAGCACAGAATGATAGTGATTTAAATTAGCATCCGTGCGAATTATACACTATAACTTTTCTACGGCTGTAACAGATAACAGCGGTATTTTTAATTTCTTCGTCTTGTAGCCATCTGATTCCCTGTCAAATAATGCTCATCTATTAGACAGAGCCGTCATTGCTTGAAATTTGACATTCCATGAGCGATGAGATTTTTTGAAATAATAACACAATGCATTGTGATATCAGATACGGAAATAAAATTGATGATATACAAAGTACCTCATTGATGTATTGAACAAAGTAAAACAAGAGCAATTTTGTGTTATAGCCGTTGAGAAAATATATTTTTGACAGAATTTGCAAACATAAATGAAGAGATGGTACATTGGCATTCGATTGGTGAACGGCTAAATTTTTTAATACAAATTACCTATGTATCTTTGTTGTCAATAAGTACTCTAGATTTATGCAACACATGTTATCACATTGAAATTCACTCAATAGCCTTGTTCCGAAATAGTGTTAATTATTCATTCACTGTACTTTGCAAAAAGAAGGAGAAAATGGATTTGATTTACTGGTTCATTATGTTTCTAACTTCACACTTATAATATATAGAATATGAGCACGTGTTATGAGTAATTTGGAGAGCAGATTTTCCTTCGAGCACACTATACAAACAATATGGTATTTGTATGACCCATCTATCACAGTGCCAACCTTTTTCAATAATCTATCACTACGTAACAATTCAAGCTTACCACTGGGCATAGACCCATTAACGGGCGTATATACAAACTGATGCGATTCGCTCGTTTTACCGCTCGACACCACACATAACCTAACCGATACCGGTTCAGTTATGTCTGGTCTGCGGTAGGGAGGAACAACGCAAACAAAATGAGTCTGAAACAAAATGAGCAATTATAAGATAATTAATTATGATTTGCATTCGAGAAAGTAGCACTTTTCTGGCATAGTCGGGAAAGTATGTGTCTCCCGGACGCGATTTTCCTAAATATACTGCACGCTAGCACAAACCACGCCCACCATAATACGTCATATCTCCAAACATTACCGATATACTCGGAGTCAGCACATCGCACTAAATATACTGTGCTCCAACGCAAGAATACACTTTTTATGATTTTGACACGAATTCGACTGAAGCTCTCTCGTTGTAAATCTCTTGTACGCAGTAAATTCATACACCCAAATGGTCTACTGGTTAGCGCTGTCGACTTTCAGTATGAAGGTCTCCCGGACTGCGATTTTACTAAATATACTGTACGCTAGCACATACCACGCCCACCGTTATATCTCATCTTCAAAGTACTTTACTTAGGCAAAACTCAGAGACTATTTATCCTCAACGAACTAACCTATCTCTGATTGCAATATTTTTGAGGAAGGAAAACCGAATGGAGTGTAAAAACACATTGATTAATAATATATTTCAAAAGTTGAGTTCTTCAACAAAATTGAATAAAATGAGACTTTTCATCCTAAACCATTGTCGATCTAAATGAAAACCTAGTAGGCGACCTAGTACGCGAGGAGGTACAATATTGTCTGTTCTTTGAATCAAAATCTGTCTGCCTGTCAAGTGGCGCTGGCATCCTGAAAATGGAAAAAGCTCATTTGTTTCTGTCAAAATAGACCATATTAGGTTGATATTCTCTTCTTCTATTTTTCTCCAATATGTACTCAACCACAGACGTGCTTTCCATCATTGACGTGATATTTGATAGGAAGACGATGGAGAAGATTCATGTAATCATAAAATTATTTTCTGACAGTTGTCATTAACTTATACTTATAACTTCGTCTTTGTGGATGTGTTGAACTTTGATTTCCTTTCTTGGAAATTACAATTATACCTATACCTAATCATTTCTTCTAGTATTGGTTTTCTATCAGAGTTTGTTGATTGGTTTGTGAGTGCGATTGTGTTATTTTGCAATGTCATCTGAAAACTGCGCACTCCAGGAGGTGAAGGTGTAATTGAATTATCAAGACATGGTTTCCCCAATCCCCACTGTTGTGAATTTGAGCCTCAAATCCTGAGGCGTCAATGGGTTCACGCCATATTCATTGGATATCAAGGTGAACTTTTTTTCTTGAATCACATAATATTTGGAACTTAATGATATTTATATTTCAGGAATGTGAGTTTTTGAAGTAAGCGAACATGATACTATATGTTTCCAACATTTTAAGGGAACTGTTTCTTGCCAATGAAGAATAGGAAACGGTTTTGGAAAGAGAGTACGGTCCCAAGTTTGTTCAAGGTAGAAATATATAAATAAAATGGTATTTAACAAATTTGTACCTATACTAACTAATTATTAGTTTCGGTATGAAATTCACCAAGAACTTGACTTTGGTTCCTCTAAAAGTTGTACCATAGTCAAAAGTCATTAAATTCATTTCAGAATGGTACAGGACATTGAAACTAGGTACAATATTTTTATATTTTCAGACTCGGCAATGTTGTTTGGAATATGATGCTGAAGAGGAATTCCTGCCTTAAGGAACAGGACCTGACGATGAAGAAGCATCTGAGGAGGAAACGGGCATTTGAACAGATATTATAGAATGATAATAAATAATAATAAAGTTCATTCAAAATGTTGACTTAAATATAAATTAAAAAGATACATATTGGTATTGAATATTCCTGTGGTTTAATCTGTGCCAATAATAGACACATCTTCTCATATTTAGTGAAGTTCGTAGCTTCAATAAGATGATTTAATAAAAAATAATCATTGTTTTACTTCAAAAATACTTCACCTATATACAATATTTGTACAATATATATAGTGTTTTCAAACTTATCTGCCAATACATCTGTACAACAATAAACAGGGTATCAGAAGAGAACAAACTTTAACTATACTTATAGTAGAATAAAAATTGAAATAATTCTTCATAATTATGTAAAATTTATTAAAAAATTCTAAATATCCCAGCATCTTGACAAAGAACCCTGAACAATAGAATACCATATATCTGAGGATGATTCCTATACAATCTTGAAATCACTTTACTCTAGTGAAATTCTGAGTGGCTCACTATGAAAATGGTCCTGAGTGTGCTGGAGTGGAATATCACATGTTCCTCATCATCTCTAATTGATTGCTTGAAAAATGGATAAATTGAATATACATTGGGGTGTGTATAATTTGTAGCCTAGAATGAAATGCCTGGCTATTTCCAGCAAACAAATCGTTGTTCTTACTGCTTATCTGGATTCAGCTCATCGAACTACAGGATGAAAAGTTTCTGATTTTATTCACTGCCCCATTTTCTTGTGTGTTTTTTCATAAAATCTTGTGAACTGGATATTTTTGCAGCTCGACTTTCAAGGAGGTACCTATCTATAAAAAATATAATGATATTTTGTGTTTGGAGCAGAATATCCATGAGACATTGATGAAATAACCAGATTGAGTCTAACCTTAGTGCTTCTATATATTTATTTCAGATGGTAAATTTTCCATTCTGTTCTGGAACATCATCATCCTTCTGGTACATTCCTTCTGAACATTACTCACATAATGATTTCTAAAGTGATACTTCCACATCACTCATAGTTTTCCGTTTTTCAACTGAAAAGCTATTAATGTAAGTACTCTTCGCTGTAGGTAGGTACCTGAAATTTTCAAGTATATAGTGATTCCGATGTGTACATGGTTTACATCACTAAAGACATGTTTTCACTGCAAATAATGGAATTTCACGAATTATAGAGTAACTTATCAAAAATATAGAAGGAAAAAAGCAGCCCCTACCTTTCTGCTTGGCTTGCATGTCGAAAAAGTGTAATAGCACTATTCAGTTTCCGAAGTTTCCACAGTTCCAACTTAAATTCAAGTTGCATCATGAATCATACTAATACAGCATTGCCTAAACATCTTCCTGCTTCCATTCAAGTATAGGTAGATGGTTTTCATACTTGATAATATCCTTCGTGATAATGTTTCATTTTCGGGATTCCACATGACAGATTTTTATTTACAAACTTGACAGGACCATGAAAAATGTTACGGTTAGGTCTGACAAATGAATAACTTAGTTTACTTGGTTCACATTGATGTCTCTGTACTACTGAACGCCTTCATTTATTTTTTCAAAGAACAGACAATATTATACCTACTAACTACCTAACTAGGTTTCCATTTAGATCGACAATGCCTAAACGCACCAACCTATTTGACTTCAAATATTTTATGAAAAAGGAAAACCAGAATGAAGTAAAAAAATATTGGTGAAAAAAAAAGTTGCAAAAAAAAGTTCAAGTTCACAGCGATTCGAACCATAGACCTTCATACTGAAAGTCGACAGCGCTAACCAGTAGACCATTTGGGTGTATGAATTTACTGCGTACAAGAGATTTACAACGAGAGAGCTTCAGTCGAATTCGTGTCAAAATCATAAAAAGTGTATTCTTGCGTTGGAGCACAGTATATTTCTGCGTACAAGAGATTTACAACGAGAGAGCTTCAGTCGAATTCGTGTCAAAATCATAAAAAGTGTATTCTTTCGTTGGAGCACAGTATATTTAGTGCGATGTGCTGACTGCGAGTATATCGGTAATGTTTATGAGATATGACGTATTATGGTGGGCGTGGTTTGTGCTAGCGTGCAGTATATTTAGTAAAATCGCTCCCGGACTAGGCCAGAAAAAATTACATCCATGACCAAACAATAGATAAATACAAAAAAGGTCAGTCATTTCCACAAATGTTAATAAAATGAACAGCAATGGTAGATGACGAGAGACAAACAACTACTTTCCTGGCTAATGCCACGCAGAACATTGAATTACATCCTCCCGAAATCTATGCATCCATACGTATGAACGTTTCTTTCCCTAATACCGATTGATTTCGATGATTTAGGCAGGTTAACGCAACGATACCTACAGACCGGTTTCGAGCTCATTGACTCTTCAGTAGATATTATATCTTCATTATTTGAAATAAGAATGACAATTTATAACATTTATTTTTCACTTGTCCATTTCTGCTTTATAATACCTTGGCAACGGTAGCTATTAACAGACCCTAACGCCCGCTAATAGTTTTTTTCTACATTCAAGCGGAAAGCAGAACTTTATTGAACTATATTCAGTGGAAAAAAAAGTTCAAAGTGCAATAAAGTTTTTACTGCACTCATCTGTCATTCTACTTCAACGTGCTGTCATCATGACAAACATTTTTTATATTGCAACTGTGGTTATAGAAAATTGCACCAATTGTTCATTGACTTTCAACATTGAGGGCGAAAATAAAGTTTGAGTTAAATTGTTCGTAACGTATTAGTTCCTGTTTCAATGCAAATCGATATTAATAATAAAGTATTCAAGTTGCGTTTTTCATTTTCCTATACCTAGTGCTGCACCTCAATAAATAATTTTTTGCTTTTTGCATGAACGTAGAAAAAATGTTGTATGCAACTCGTGCAAAAATTGTTTATTGCACTCGACGTGAAATTGTCCGACGAGGCCGGTAGGCACTTATTTTCTGTAGTTCATAAAATTACATACCAATTCTTGAAAGTACGCCAATAACACGGTCATTTTTCAAATTCCAGAGCTGACTAGATTCCTTTCTCATTTAGCCGACATTGACCGTGTAAATCGAGCGATCATGATTAGTTCTCGGAGTGAATTGATCAAATATTTATGTTCCTTCATTGATTAATAACAGGCTACTGAAATGGTATGGATTTTTTATATCACTATGGTTCAATGCGCTATTTCTGATTTTGAAATCGCGACCTGATTCGAACAGAACATGTCAAGCGATGAAAGGAAATTATTGTGTTTTCTATACATTTATTCATTGTCTTATCTGCTCTGACATCTGCAGAAGCTTATAAAATACCGAACCTAAGAGAGGAATATTTTGTGCAAAATTCGAGTTGTAATTCAGTTACACTACTTCCACTTCATGTACCGGGTGAACAACTTAGAACGGCTGCCATATCTATCATTCTCCCAACTTTGATAGTTAATATCTTCCGTTGGCGAAAAGCTATCATGTTGCGGTTTTCGTTGGTCTGTTGAGATCCAGTTTCTCTATTACATCGTGTGATGATATGCATACCATTAGATTTATTATATCTCAAGCTTGTATCATCATTCGTTGCTGAGAAATGGCCGACAGCCGTTATTAGTTGTTGCCCGGTATATCTATGATATGATTCTGTAATATACCGAAGCCCAAAGCATAAAGGTTATTTCATTTAAAATTCTCTGAGATACTTATGTTATATAATATTGTATTGCTACTCGAGGATAGATGCATTGTTAAATCAATAAGATAGCACCGGCGACACTTTCTAAGTTTTAGTTAAAACAAAGCCGGGAAGATGCCTTTGTATGTTTTAAATGATCTCTGCATTAAAAAGCGATTAGTTCATGATAGTTTCCGACAAATATTACCAAAAATCATTAGAAGCAGAAAACAATAGAATTCTGACGTTTCAGGTCATCAACTTAGTGGGTGGTGAAATATAATCAATTACTCTGTACAAAGAGACATTTCTAGATATCTATTCATCATGATTGATTAGAACTTGTCGAGATAGGGACATCTGAAACTAACCTGCTGTAAATATTCTTTATCTGGCGCTACTGCTTGTTCCCATCGAACATGGCCATCTTCAAACAGCTGAAAAACGACCTTAGTGTCTTTTAGGAAATTTTTACCAATGACAAATAGCTCTAGTCCACCGCTGGCCGGACAAGATGTCAGAGATTTCTTGCAAATCTCTGGAATACCTGGCGGTTGAGCTAAAAAAAATTTCACTGTGAGCTACAGATATCTATTGAACGATGAAAAATGTTTAGATGAATGATGCAAAAACATGTCTGCCGCATAAGAAAGAAGTTCCACGATCATATTATTTAAATGTTCACAGCAATAGACAATCACATGTTGTTTCACATACAGGGTGATTCATGAAAGAGTGACATAGAGACAAATGGTGGAAAGAGGAAATCAAGACGAGTTGATGTAGCTAAATGAAACGTTTCTTGGTCATCCATAAGGAAGACAGGATATGATGTTAAATTGTTTGATAAATTTGCTAGCGGAGTATCTCTATTGAGACTATCTAAGATATTTGAATTAAGAAATCCAGAGCATGCTTTGGAAAAATTATGTTTCATTGTTATTACAACGAAGCTGGCTTTCATAAACAATTTCTTGGTACTTAAAAGGACCAGGAAAAATGCCTTAAGAACTGCTCTTCGATTTGTATGGCACACTTCGGCCGATTCAGTCAAACAAAAACTTTTTGATGGATATTCAATGTTGGCCTGGTAGATGACTCATGATTCAACTGAATTTTTGGAAGCTGGATTCTTGCTCAACAGCTTTTCAGAATCTACAAAGCATAGATCTGACTCGTTTTAGGAAACTGGAATCAACATTCAGTTTCAAAATTTTGATATGGTTGTGTAGGCAGGATAAGGACGAATTAAAATATGTGAAAAAATACAGGGTATTCCATTGAATAGTCGTAGATCATGTAGACCTTCGTCGATCAAACTTATTTTCAATTGTAGACCTCAAGATATTGTACAATATCTCTAAATAAATATTGTCTATCTCTTATTTGAATGAAGCTATAGAGATTTTCCACACTACTTGAACACCCGTTATAAACAGAACACTTACACATAGTGTCCATCACAAAGTACTTGAAAAATATGTGAAATGTTGAAAAAATATATTAAAGGAATACTCTAGGTGATGGATTGTGCATGTTTGATAACCCGAGATTATATTCCGACAGATGTCAAATGTCGTTATCGCTGGTACAGCTCATTTCTATACTAGGGAAGGGACTCCCAATGATGCAAAAGTGAGCAAATCAAATAGGTATTAGGCAACTCGTAAGTTTGTGGGATAACCAAACCTGAGATTCAATTGCAGAAATAGTCAATATTGAACTAATATTTCTACAACCCATTAATGTCTACTGGGTCGATAATGATCCAATATAAATATGTAGAGATTACTTGGTCTTCACTTTTGGACCCGTTCTGTGCATTCACGATCTTAACCAAAATAGCACTCCAGTGAGTGAACCTCATTTGAGCTTGCAGTGTGCATTGGTTACAATACTTGAATTGTTTTTGTAGCATGAGTTCAATCACGTCGCTTATGTCAATACCTCAATAGTGGTAAGTACTCAGATTATTTTCTATAGTCCAAATGTTTGTGAAAAAGGCAAGATCATTTTTCAAATTATTTTTCCTATCACTAGATTCACTCAAATATGTTGTTCTGTGACTCAAATGTATAAATTCAGTGTGTATGATCCTTCTTTCTCTTTAATGTATGAGATGCAATGGTTTAAATATTTCAAATAATTCAATGCTATAAATTAAACAATTTTCATGTAACGTAATGAATACCATTGTCTTAAAAATAATAGCTGTTTGAAATAAATAAGTACGACTCAAATATCACTAGATATTCAGGCATTTAGGTATTATTAACATTAAGTGATTTGCAAAACACATTTGAGTTGATGTCAGAAGTTAGATGTGAAGAATATGTTAATAAATTAGGTTAAAATTATTAAAGAAAGCAGAAATGAAGTAAGTGTTACTCACTGCAGACTATAGGTTGAGAACACACTTGCAATGTTTCCTGAGTACCATCACCGAGGGTGATCATTGTCCTGAAGATCATCCTGCACCTCGTCGACTTCTTTTTACTCCGGTTTCCCAACTGATCCGGAAACCTGTGTTCAACATCGACATTCCTCTCTTTCAAAATGCCCACGCAATCACAAGTGGCGAACATCTCTTTGGCAGGATCTAATTGGAGTTCTATCACACAGGTTCCGTCGATTTTTTTCTCGTGGCAAGGAGTTGAATTCTTGCCGCTCACTTTGCAGGCTTGGTAGAACATATGTGGGGATACTTTGCCTACGTCTGTTCCAATAAATACCTACAAAAAAAAGTTGTGTCAATCTTAGAGCAACTAGATAAGAAGAGAGATTTATTTTGCTCATTTACTCTGTGGAAAATACCACACATTCTAAGGACCTTTGTGGATCCGCTGTGAATTCTACAATTTAATAGGATCAATCAAATGGAACTCTTATTCATTTCTTCTTAAACAGCTCATAACAGAAAATGGAATAACTTTCATAATCATATTAGTTCAGCAATCTCACATCAGTACAAAGTTGCTAGTTTGGGCGCTAGAAGGCTCTGAAGTTACAATTGAATATAAAATTTGGATTGGGTAACTTGATTACTACATGAAATGTACTCCTGATAATTCGATTACTCCCATGGTTTCGACAAAATCTAAATTTTGACTACGCACGATGTTCTTCGAACATTATAGGAATTTCCTTTCATGCGCTCCAAAAGATTAAAAAAATGTTGAAGGATTAGTGAGCGTGGCATCACCCATCAAGTGAATGGCTCTTCTCTGGATGTAATCTAAGAGCATCAGCGTATGTTTGGTTGCTGAAGCCCATATGTAGGAACATTATTCCAGAACAGACCATATCTGTGCTTTGTAGATCATGAGATCATGAGAAGCTGTTGAGGTGTAAAGTAGATTCTCGCACGGAATAAAAATCTGTGAAGCAGCTCGATTATAGACATAGTGGATTTTGTGGGAATGGTGGTAGCAGACATACTGAGTTCCGCCTTTATTGAAAAAATACAGGCTTGAGTTTTGGTAGCGTTGGATTCAATATGGTTGTTTGTTCCCCAGGCTGTAATTTTAGCGAGATCTTCATTGAGATTGTTGATCTGCCTACGTCATGAGTTCTTAGTTTCCTGAGAAGAAATGGGAATTCTAGAAGAGAACACAGTATGGAGAGTACTATCATCTGCGAAGCTGTGGGTAGGGCAAGTGGTAACTTCCAACAGATCATTGATATGAAGTAGAAACAATGTTGGTGACAAAAATGATCCTTCTGGAACTCTGGAATTGATGACTATGGTATCAGACGACACTCCGACCACCACCACATGGAATGTTGGTAGTTTGTGGAGAAGTCCTTGGTGCCAAACACGGTCGAATGCTTTCGATATATCTAACGTCACAGCTAAAGATTCCCCATTTTTATCTAATGTAGCTTGCCATATATGGGTGACGTAGGAAAGTAATTCTCGAATTGGTCTGTGATGACAAAAGCTAGATTGTCTATTAATGATTCCTGAGCTTTCCAGATATTTGATAGGCTCTATGTTGATGGCTTTTTCCATCACTTTGGAAATTACGGATAATAGGGCAATAGGCCTATAATTGTTGGGCAGATTTTTGTAGCCATTTTAGGGGATTGGCTGGACTCTAGGTAACACCCGACTTGTAGGAGAACTACGAGATGGTAAATAACTTGCAGAAAATCGGTGCACATTTTTTTAGAACAATGGGTGAAAATCCATCAGGACCATTAGCCATGCACCTATGAGAACATAATAACGTGCAGGGGTTTACTGGGATATGTTACTCATCTCATAAAAGTCGTATAGTGCATTGCTTTGGATTTGACACGATGAATGTTGTCAGGTTGTCACGATCAACTTTGCGTATTTCCGCATTTTTCATTTTATGAAATATTGTTGTTTTCAATAATCATTTAAAAAATGTACAGAGCTCAAAGGTGAAAACGGTTTCCGCCGATGAACTAGTTTGGATTAATACTTGAAAATAATGAAATAAAATGTTTCAGTGAAACAGGCTCTGATTCCGTAATTTAAATTCTGTATAGTTATCCCCATTATATGCCATTTCATTCATTTATCAGTGGTTGGCGTTTAGAATCCTTGGTAAATACTTGTAATTCAATCTGAGATATTATGTGAAGGTTGAGGTATGCTGGATGACACGGAACTAATTATAACCTCGTATCTTCCTTGCTATTTTGAATGGGTGTTTCAAATTTAGTAAATCGATTAAATTTCATCAGTGTAAAATGACACTTCCGGTTCGAACTAAAGTGCATTCATTTTTTTTGTTCCAAATACATTGTTTTTTTCTGGAAATTGTAATTCAGTATGGAATTACCTTTCCAATGATATATCACAATCATACTTACAATCCACAATCTAGTCATATAATTGGGATTTCATAAAAAAAACATTTTTTGTGTATTTCGGTGTGAAAGTTTCAACACTTATTTCAACAATTATTCGTATGCACACTAACTATTTTCACAATTTCAGTTTTTTCTTTATTTCTCAACACCAAAAAACTAATTTTTTTTATGATATAGAATTTTTCGAGGTTGGTTAAAAACTCTCATACATGTTAAAATACAAAAAAGGAAACTTCAAATTTCTGTCTCCTTTTAGATTTAATGAAGATAATCTGTTACATAATAGATGTAATTCAAAATGTTCACTAATGAATTGGAAAATGACTTACCCAAAATTCCTGAACGTGCTGCTCACCGGCTTTTCATTATAGATGAAGATGAGGGAAGGGAAAGGAATAGCAGGAAGTTTAGGAGAATTTGATTATGTCCCTTTCCATACGAATTATTGCCACTCTTGAGACCCTTCAATCGAACCGAACTACTAATATGACACCATTTGATTGCTACACGATTAATTAATTAATTATCACACCGGTGCTAGCCTTTTTTCGATATACCGGGTGGCTACGGAAGTATTGCCTACGGAATATCTCAGTTATTGTATGAAGTAGGTTTGTGAAATTTGGAGCATTGATATAATGACATAAGAGCTAGAATTTGAGCATATTGACATGTCGAAGTTAACTTCCGGTCTGGTCGGAAGTAACATCAACTTTCTTATTTCGAATAGAAACCCCTTTTTCTTCTTTTCGCTTTATTCAGCATTCAATTCCCTTTCTAATGACATATCGCAAGTTGTATCTAACCAGAAACTAGATCAGAAAAAAATTATTATTGAAATTCACCGAGTAGGCCGTGGAAGCAAAATGAAAGCCAAAAAATGACTTTCTATTATATCATTAGAAAGGGATGGTTATGCTGAATAGTACAGGCAAAAAAAAGTTGTATGTTCCTATTTAAGTTAGAGTATTGTTTTTTCCCCAATTTTTCCAATATTTTTTTTGGCGGCTTTTCATAACGCCGACGAATGAAAATAAAATATCACAGTAGTATAGCAACTGTTATCAAGTGACGTATGGTTTCCATAGCCTACTTTTCAATTTTTGGCTTTCATTTTGCTTCCACGGCCTACTCGGTGAATTTCAATAATAATTTTTTTCTGATCTAGTTTCTGATTAGATACCAACTTGTGATATGTCATTAGAAAGGGAATTAAATGCTGAATATAGCGAAAAGAAAAAAAATTGTGTTTCCATTTAAAATAAGAAAGTTGATGTTACTTCCGGTCAGACCGGAAGTTAACTTCAACATGTCAATATGCTCAAATTTTAGCTCTTATGTTATCATATCCACGCTTCAAATTTCACAAACCTACTTCATACAATAACTGAGATATTCCGTAGGCAATACTTCCGTAGCCACCCGGTATATGCTAACTGAACCTTCTCGAATATTCTGAAGTGGCGTCGCCAGCGGAGAATACCTGAAGTAATGAATTTCCTACTGAACGTTGTTGCCAGATTATAAAAATATAATTAACATTGGGGAAGTTTGAGATTTGGCCCAAACATAATCTCCATGGTATACCTACTTACATTTGTATTGAACCTTTCAAATTAGTTGGCTATGAGATTGAATTTCGTTCTATGGGTCTCGAATTATTATTGAAACTGCATAATCTGACGCAACAAAATATTTAATTCGATAATTCCCCTTCAAGTAACGAGGGGAATACAAAAAATATTTTTTTATAAAATCTCAATTATATGAGTAGATTGTTGATTGAAAGTATGATTGTGATATTATATCGTTGGAAAGGTAATACTATACTGAATCGTAATTACCAAAAAAATATGTACTCTATTTGTCCACAGGTTAAATCCTTTGAATACCCACTACAATAATATTTCTATGCTCCTCATTAATGTCCTCAGCCATTTTACATTTTGGTTGAATTATGATGGGTTATGTTTTCTTCCCTTGCCCTTCCTGACAGATAAAAACGTGTTCTTTTTATTTAATCGACAACTCAGATCCATCTCACCTCCTCCTAACTCAATTGATCTCAGTAGTGAGAATGTAAAAAGGTTAAAAGAATATTGCTATATAAGCCATAAAATAATGAAAAATAAATTGAAATTTTGGTTCAAAATGTGCCACTGGTTCCATTTCAACAATCTACATACTTACATAAAACAAGATAAAAGGTCCTCTGGAAAATAAAATATTCTGGAAGATTCTGAATGTTCAAGTTTGTCTAGACAAACATTGGCTTTGGCATGGTTCAACTACAGTAAACAGATGTGGTATGATGATTGTGTCATGGCTCATACAAAACCCATTTTATTCATCGCTCTAATTTCCGAAACACGCAGGATAATTTGAATATTTTCCAAAGTCACAATTTGTTATACTAACTTGTAGAGTTGCCGGTTGATGATATCCAGTCAATTGTACTATAGGAAAACCATTTCCATCTCTGTCTTTAACCGCACCTCTGCTGCCTTCAGTCTGATATCTCGCTCTGTGTTGTTGTTCTGGTTGTTTTATTATGGTTAGGGAAACATCCGCTGAAAATATAAATAGATCAATACCAGTGAATTGCCATGATTATGTAATATTTATTGAAAGACTGAAGTTTCTCATCTCAACGAAGTGACGTCCAAGTTTTTGACAATATATTTTCCTCGCCTTTCTCAATGAATATATATATATTTTTTATATTTTGAGACTGTCTTCATTTTTGATGAATTTGAGTTTGGATACTGCGAAGACATTAACTGTTGGAGCCGATAGTGATTCGCTATTTCAATGATGTTTTTTTTTCTATATTGCTTCTGCTTGTATTATTTGTTGCGCCCTGTCTCTTTTGCGTCCTGTCTATAGTTGGACCAATTGTATTGCATTCCTGCCATCATACTAAGCACTATACATATATTGATTTTACAAATTACACTCACATTAATAACAAGACCCTGATTGAATTGCCCAAAAATACGTCCAAAATCCAGTGAAAACACTTACCAATATGAATCTCTGGCAAAATAGTTGAAACTTTTGACTGACTCAATGATTTTCTGTTTGATTTTCATATTCAACAATATTTATAGATAAAATGTAATGGAATCTAGCAAAAATGGTCAAATTCAACTTACTATATCGTGACGAGGAGGAAAGTTGTGTAGTCAAAGGTACTGGCCCAGTAGAAGGTTGTCTATTAGAAAGTGGTGTACACCTAGGTCCCGACTTTGCTGGTGAAGTACTAGTACTACTTACTATACTTAACGAAGGTACTGTACCGACAGGTGCAGTTCTGATCAAGCTGCAAAAGAAATTTTAACCATATATCTGGTGTAACGCTCATGATTCCCCTACTTTTGGAGATGAATAATTAAATAATTGAACAACCTTATTTTTAGTGTATTATATTGCATGTTAAATTCTGTGAAGGTTTCTGAATCTTTTGATATCAAATAAACAACATTTCAAAAATCAATATTTTTCTGCACTCCTAAGGTGAAAAAGTAATCCTATAACACCCGGTATACTATATTATGTTTATAGTAGTACAGGGTGGAGCACGAATTGTGGTTGGTGCCTTGTCAGTTCTCATCATTCAGCACATTGTTGCCAAGTCTTCAACATCAACATGATAGTTGGATATAGACTATATGGAGTATAAGAGATATTTGGAGATGCTGGTTTTCCGAAAAAGTGAGGAATGAACTATATCAGGGCTTCCTCATATTATGTTTTATCTCGTGTTTTACTCAACGACAGGACTCTAATCTTTTTCATAAATTGATAATAATCGGTGACTTGACAACCTTGCCTCATAAGTGGAAATGGAAGATTATCTGACCAATAAGGAAACAGCATAAATAGTGACGTCACCATTTATTCGACGTATCGCCAAATGGCGGCCAGGACGATACGTTTGAAATGAGCTCTGACATTCAACAATTTCAAAACAAGGCATAGACTCATTATTTACATAAAAAAGGGTAAAAATTACTTTAGGTCCCTAACGACACAGTGGAGTAATTGAATGCCAATAATTCATCAGCAGTTCACTTGTCCATTGACCCTTTCTGAAATTCAATTGACTATTCTGAAATAGATTTGACGCTTTCTGAAATTGAATTGATTATTTTGAAATACAAGTGACTATTCTGAAATTCAATTGACGCTTTCTGAAATTCAATTAACTATTCTGAAATACAAAAGGCGAGTGAACTGATAATAAATTATTGCAAAAGCATAGAGAATATGACAGTGCAAAGAATACATCAGAGCTAGCTTCACTCCATTGATTTGTTCTGCTGAAGGTGTATTACACCAGGAATATGCCATTTTTAAGAAACGTTACATTGTCATGAAAATGGAAGGAGCCGTTTTCTCAAACACTAGGGCGGATTCGCATACAAGGGCAAATATACATAATAAGAGCCGTGTCCCTACGATTGAGAGGTACGAGACGGCATATAAGATATCTACCATATGAGGACGGGGCAGTTTTACCTATTTCATTCCATATTTGAATTTGTTCATCTTCATTGAGTTTTAATTACTTTTACTTATATTTTTACACACTATTTTATTGATATTCAATTACTCCACTGTCGTTAGGACCTAAATTAATTTTTGCAACACTTTTTCATGTGAATTTTTTTTTTTTTTTTATCGATTGGAGCGCACGAAAGGGAATCCCTATAATGTTCAAAGAACATCGTGCGTTCCTAGGGAGGATAGGGACAGGAGGTAGGTATTGGCATTTTTTTTGAATTTTTGAAGATTATATGTTGTTGGAAATACTTCCACAGGCAATGAATTCCAGAGCCTAGCCGTTCTATGGATGAAGGAGTCTTGATAAAGTGCTGTTCGACATCTTTCGAGGTTGACAACGAAAGGATGTGCTGACTGGGCTTGTCTAGTTCGTCTGATTGGTATTGCTAGTGAAGGGATGATTGCAGAGATTTCCGAAGAACATTTCCCGTGGAAGTATCGATAGAAAAGTGAAAGGTCGCCGACCTTTCTACGGTGTTCCAATGATGTCAAAGAGTGAGTGAGTGTGGCGTCACCCACCAGGCGAATGGCTCTTCTCTGGATGGAATCTAAGAGCATCAGCGTATGTTTTGATGCTGAGCCCCATATGTGGGAACAGTATTCTAGAACAGGCCGTATCTGCGCTTTGTAGATCATGAGAAGCTGTTCAGGAGTAAAGTAGCTTTTCGCACGGAACAAGAATCCGAGTTTTTGTGAAGCAGCTTTTGCGATGGATCTGACATGATTATCCCATGAAAGAGTGTTGCTGATGGAAATACCGAGCATAGATATGGTGGGCTTGGTGGGGATGGTGGAGCCAGACATTACAATATCGGGCATACTGAGTTCCGCCTTTCTAGAGAAAATGCAGGCTTGAGTTTTGGTGGCGTTGAATTCAACTAGGTTGTTTGTTCCCCAGGCTGTGATTTCAGCAAGATCTTCATTGACAGCATTGACCTGCCTGCGCCGTGAGTTTATGCGTTGTTCAGAATTGTTGAATTTCAGAGCTCATTTCAAACGTACGGCGAATAAATGGTGACGTCAGTTTTTATGCGGTTTCGTTATTGGTTAGATAATCTTTCAATCTCACTCATGAAGCAAGTTTGTCAAGTCAACAAATTTGATCAAGTTATCAAAAAAGTATTAGAGTTCTGTTGTTAATTAAAACACGAGATAAAACATAATAGGAGGAAGCCATGATATTATAGTGCATTCTTGACGTTTTCGAGCAACCAGCATGTTCAAATATTTCTTATACTCCGTAACAAAACAAGTGAGGTACGTAGTTTTTGAAAAGTATCAGATTAGTATAGATGTAGTTTTCATTAGGTATTAGATTAGTATAGGGGTCAGATAATTTATACGACGCTATAAAAGCAGATGATATTTTATCATTGCTCATGTAAGATGGAAGTAGAGGCCATGGCACCATATCATGAGCATATTTTTATATTGAAACTATCATTGGGCACCAAAGATGTGTATACAACGCTATGAAAGTTCAGAGAACTTGAGATTTTTTCCACAAACTACGTACGTAGCCCACTCGACTGTCTTGGTTTTTCCACACAAACTACGTACCTAGCCCACTCGACTGCCAATAGGGACTGAAAATACAAAAACAAAAGAAAGTTAAAACTTTCCGAACATATTTCTTCTTTGTGGGAAATCAAGACAGTCGAGTGAGCTAGGTACCTAGTTTATTGGCGAAAAATAAAGACAGTCGAGTGAGCTAGGTGAGTAGTATGTGGAAAAAAAATCAAGACCGTCGAGTGTGCTTTTTTTACTTTCTTTTGTTTCTTGTTTCGTTATTTATTGGCAAGTGATTATCTAGGAACTTGTAAATTTTTTAGTTTTTCCATCGTATCTCCCGAACTATTGATTTCAGAGAAAAATGTTATACGGATTTTTTGTAGATTCTATCAAAAGGAATAATTTTGGTTCTATAACATTTTCAGATATTTCCAGTTGTTTTCGAGATATTTGGAATCATCTGAGAATAAAATTTTCAACACTTTTGTTCCATCTTCCAATCAACAAAAAGAAAAAATATTTCATGGTTCCGTGGAAGTCGATGATCTCCATCTATCGATAATCTTTTGTTTTTCAATATATCTTCATGGTACCCTATGGGTCGTTCAAATTTTTTTTTTTCATATTTTTTACTTTATTTCCTGTACTATTGGGTTTACAGAAAAAAATTTTGGGTAATAATTTGTAGGAAATGTTCCAGTGAATAACTTTGCACTGCTGATAATTTTCGATTTTTCTATTTGTTTTCGATATAGATTGAATTGAAAGGATTGCAAATGTTGATGTTTTGAATTTCTTTTGTTTTTCCAATTTCCGATGGATGCACGAAAAAATGGTATAATAATAATTTGTTGCGTCATCAAAGAGGCATACGGTGCATTTTTTAAATTTGGATTCAGTCTATTGGTTCAGGAGATATGTCGTTTCAAAGCGAACCGTGTGTTTCGGAAAATCTCCTTGAAAAACCCACTTGGAATTTCCCGACCCTGCTCAATTTCAATAGGCTTCGTCTCTCCCTGATAGAGTTTTTTTTTTCACAAAAAATGAAATCGATCGGACCACTTTTGCGATTTGTAGAGTGGTCACAAGAAACTTCCGGTGAAAAATCGAAAAAAACCGGAAAAACCACCTTAGAGTTTTCCGATTTCCTTCATATTTTAATAACATAATATTGTTTTGAGTACAATAAGATGGCAAAATTTGGCTTAGTTTCCGAGATAGCATTTTTGGCAAGGCCGTAGTATACTCCACTATGTATAGCGTCGTATAACAAGGCACCGCCCACAATTCGTGCGCCGTGTTGTCACATTTTCCGGTTCAAATGTTCTCTAGTATAAGCAATAAGCCACAACACATATAAGGAAAATTTTTGAGACAATTGATTTCTTATGGATAATTAAGAATATTACCAATACATTATTGAGGGTTTATGAATCAGTCTGCCCTACTTATGAAATAGTGACGTCAATTCTTACTCGCAGTAAATTTTCAGCCGTTTGAAAATGACACCGTGACATCATTGATGATTTTAACCCCTCAAAATCGACCGAAACATTTTAATAAATAATATAAAATTGGAAGATATTTGAGATTCGATTGATGATTCTATTTGAGAAATAAACAAAATTAGTCCACTCGCCTATTGATGCTTTCTGAAATACGAGTGACTATTCTGAAAAAGGTGTTGTATCGTTACCACCGATACAACAAGGCCAGCAGACTCTGACGTAAACAGCTCGTGACGTCACCAAGAGAGGCCAGTGTTTTATTTTATCGCTTGTCGACTAACGCGTCAGTTCGTGTTAATTCATCGGTGATTCACGTATGTTTTTGAAACGGTCCCGAATTCTTTTGTTGTTTTGTTTCTTTTCTTTTTTGTTTCTTTTGTTGTGATCGGCGAAATAACAATGCCTTTCAAGTGTTGTGTTCCCTTTTGTCGGGGGAATTATGTGGGTGGTTCAAAAGTTCATGCTTTTAGTTTCCCGTTGGACGAGGAGCTATCGAAAATGTGGATATATGCAATTCACCGCGAGGATTTCACTCCATCTGAGTTCAGTAGTAAACAGAGCTTAATTTATAATGATGAATTAATAATAGAAGACAATTACTCTCTCATAAAAAGTATAAGTAGAGGAAAAATAGAAAAAACTTTGATTGTGCAGTTAGTTTTGTATTCGTATATTATAGTCAACAAAATCATCACTGAATTCGAGGAAATTTCCTTGAATGTTCATAATACACGGGCATTTTTAATTCTCATTCTCAAATTTCTTTCTGTAAACGGTCATTTGCCTCGTGGCAATGAATGCAGAATTCATTCCAATGATCAAATTGCAACTATCATATTAACATGAACTACAAACACTCTACTTAAAAAGGTAAAACTGCATTTATCATGAAGATATTCGATTAAAAAGTTCCAAATTTTACCTTCTTTTTCACCTTTCTTCTGGATGGCATTTAGAACAAATTTCCCTTCTTTTTTCATCATATTGGACAATTTATATATAATTCAACTATAAATATGATTTTCTTGAGATTAATCCATATTAAGTGAAAAGAAGGAAGAATATCATTCAAAATAATGGCGTGTGTAATGTCATTCGAAAGCAATCTATTGACATTTTGACATCTCGTATTTTGATTGCTTGTTCACTAAATATGAAAAACTCGCCATAAAAATCATATTTCCTGTTGAATTTTCTATATAAAAATGTGCCATCGAAGTACAAGATGAGTATATAAAGTGTCCAATGACAAAATAAGAGCAAGTAGCTTCAAATGCCCCCAACACAAGGGGAGAAAGAAGGCGAAATTTCGAACTTTTTCTTGAAATATCTCAATAAATAGTGGTTTCTTCACATTTTCATTATAAAATTCGGTTTATCAGACAAAAATACGTGAGTACCGAAAATAATTTTCAAAAAAAAAACCATCGCATGATAAATGCAGTTTTACCCTTAAAAATTACGGTTTCAAGTGTAACGATCCACTTGGGTGAAAAATCCAACAGAAAATTGAAAACACTCACTGGTTATTTTTTCAGGTAATAGGAATTCTCCAAGATAAATATAGGTAATTGTAACAAACGGCATGTCAATCAAAATAAAATACATTTTCCACAATTTTCTTTCAATCAATCTCACGATGAGTTTATGTTCTGCGGGCCCTGTATAAGTAGGTGTGAAGTTTACCTTCACCACAATTTTTGCCAATATATTTAATTCGAATGGGTTGCTGTAGGTGGATATTTGTGTTTCATCTTGGTTTTTGCTTTAAAACTTCGTTTTTCCATAATAAAATCGAATGGGGTGCGAAGAAGGGCTCAGTTGACGACTGGCATCCTTTTTTAACCGGAAGCCCTTCAAAAAACAGCAAAATCGGCTCAATGATGATCTGAAACTAAAATCGAAATACGCGGTCGCCTTATAGCGCTATAAGCGCTTGTCGTTTCGAGCCGCTGGTTAGGCCTCACTAAGTGACGTCACCCACGGAGCATGCAGGCCTTGTTGTATCGGTGGTAACGGTTGTATACAAATAAAAACGTACGATATGTTGTCTTCACAGCTTCGAGCAGATTCTGGAAAGCAATAAGAGTCGTTGATTTCTTCGTTTTCCAATTTTATGTCGAGTTTGGGCCTTTTAGCTTCGGCCCTCTCACCTGTCCATGACAACCTCTCTGCCATGTCCAAAGTGTGGTGGTGTGGCTCCAAGTGGTGTTCGCTGAAGTTGCTGAAACCAATGAAATATCATAATGAATGACTACATTTGCCAACGGCAAAGAGTGTGAGATGAGCGAGAGCAATCTATACAGGGGTAAAAAAAAGCTCGGAGAAGTCATTTTAATTTGATGGGAGATAAGGGGAAGGGGCATCAACTTTCGATTTCCAAATGGAATACCCTGTCAGGCGTGTCATTTCAGTGTATATTAGGGGAGGGACAAGGAACTAAGAGAATTCTGTGCATGTTCTAGAATGCGCCGCAGGCAGATTTTTTTATGTTCAAGGTCAAATGTTTCCAAGAGTGACAATAAAAGTTCATATAACCTTATAAATATATCACATTTTATTCAGTTTCATTTTCTCATTTTGATGTAATTGCTATATAATATTATAAAAAACTATATGACATTTGAAAGACCTAGTGAAATAGTTATTTATTATACAAGGAAGAAAAGTAATAGATAAATAGATTATAGCTCCAGATTGTGTTGTCTCCCGACGCGCAGCGAAGGCAGACAAAAAACCGTGAGCTAAAATCTAACATTTTTCCCGATTATAACACACATTTTTTTCTGTGACAGGAGAAAGAACGAATCAATATTGAGAAGATATTACATTATATTGAAATCAGAAAATCATCGACTTGAAATCTGAGGTTTTCAACAGGAGGGACACCTGCCTTGTAGGCATTTTTATCATTCTTTTGAAGTAATCAAATATCTGATGTCATTTCTGTCAGTATAATTCTGTGATTTGATTTCAAAGACTTTGCGAATTTAGTGGTTGTTTAGTAATTTATGTAACCGCGAAGTAGAATGGAAGATAAAAGAACTTGCAGTTCTTTCTCAGAGACGGTGTTCTTGGCTTATTTTTCGGAACTATAGCACAACAAATGCCATCAACAGTGTATATGTATATAAAAAGGTACTCACTTTTCTTCCCACGAGAAAAAAGTAATTTATGAAAAGTGACATTTTATAACCTGTCAACAGAGATGAAATGACTCTCTAAAGGTTAACTGAGCAGGTGAATTTAAATTGTTTCAGATTTTTTATATTTTCCCCTCGTTTCTTTGAATGAAAATTCGACTATATTGAACCCGTATGTGTGATTAGGATAAAGTGGCACTGATTATTTGTAACAGATTTCTCTCACAGTTTCATGAAAGTAACTGTTTTGAATACAGAGGCATTTGTCTTTAGAAACAAGGCGAAAAAATCTCAAAGATTCTAGATTTGGTTGAAATTTGGTACTTTTATATGTCAAATTTTCTAAAATTTCAGCATCAAGTGAAAATTATATTTTTGGCGGAAAAAATTAAAAAATAATTTCTCCAATCCAGGTGTTCATGATATGCAAATACCTCGGCAAATACAGTGGCTTTAATTTTTTTTCTCGAAAACGAAGCTGGATATGAAGAGAATACAAGAGACCAAAAATTTACCAAGAACAGTCAGTGGCGTACTTTTTTTTCACAATATTGTTGGCTGTGATGCCCACTGAGACGCCACTGGTCCCAATAATTTCAATCTAAATAGGGCTAAATAAGCGCCTCATTAGTTCAAATAAAAGTACCAAATTTCAACCAAATCGGTTCCAGGATATTCATGATATTTTGTAATTACCGTTCTTTTTTCAATTTCATCGCCCTGTATCTCAGAAACGAAGCAACTCCGGACATATGTTAATAGGAACTTTTCTTCCTAAAATGTCCTAACGAATCACCACCTGCAGTTAGGAAACACCCTGTATATGGTCTGCTACGTCATTGCAAGTCTATACTCGCACCAAAATGACGACGACTCTGGCGAACTGATAACTGTGAGCTCAGACTGCGAGCAATTGTTTTACTCGCGGTGACGTATACGAAGATGCGTCGTAGCACACCATACTAATTCCACCATGTACCTACCTATACCTATCTACCATAGGAGAAGAAACAAATTCTGAATCAATCAGTACTAAATTGCCTACTTGGTTCGAATTCTATTGATTTTAGTACAAGCATCACTGACTTCTCGTCAATAATATTGAGAAATTAGAACAGTGCGAAGTTATGCGGGGACTGAGGTATTTTTAACTTGGCAACATTGTGTTAGCGCCAGTTGCTTCATCTCTTTCTCTTGTAGACATAGTTGCCAGATTAGCAATTACATTTTCCGGGAATGAGTGCTTGAGATATAGCAACACTGTTCAATTTGTTGATTGTAACAGTCAACAGACAACGTAATTTTAACATAACTGAATCCGAACTAAGTACATAAACAGCGTATTTCTGTTATTTAAATTAGTACAAGCGTCACTGACTTCTAGTCAATAATATTGAGAAATAAGAACAGTGCGAAGTTATGCGGGTAATGATGTATTTTTAACTTGGCAACATTGTGTTAGCGCCAGTTCCTTCATCTTTTTCTCTTGTAGACATAGTTGCCAGATTAGCAATTAAATTTTCCGGATATGAGTGCTAGAGATATAGCAACACTGTTCAATTTGTTGATTGTAACAGTCAACATACAACGTTATTTTAACATAACTGAATCCGAACTAAGTACATAAACAGCGTATTTCTGTTATTTAAATTAGTACAAGCGTCACTTACTTCTAGTCAATAATATTGAGAAATAAGAACAGTGCGAAGTTATGCGGGTAATGATGTATTTTTAACTTGGCAACATTGTGTTAGCACCTGTTGCTTCATCTCTTTCTCTTGTAGACATGGTTGCCAGATAAGCAATAAAATTTTCTAGATATGAGTGCTAGAGATATAACAACACTGTTCAATTTGTTGATTATAACAGTCAACAGATGACGTAATTTCAACATAACTGAATCCGAACTAAGTACATAATAAGAACAGTACGAAGTTATGCAAGAAGTGATGTATTTTTAACTTGACAACATTGTGTTAGCGCCTGTTGCTTCATCTCTTTCTCTTGTAGATATAGTTGCCAGATTAGCAATTACATTTTCCGGGAATGAGTGCTAGAGCTATAGCAACAATGTTCAATTTGTTGATTATAACAGGCCACAGACAACGTAATTTCAACATAACTGAATCCAAACTAAGTACATCAACAAGCGTCTTACTGTTAGATGCCTGCATCACATTTTATCCAAGAGCTTATCTTGAAACTTATAGCGGTTTCCATTGGGCATGAACTGGTGCAGTATTTATGCACTCAGTGTATATCTTTCTTTCTTTTTGACGTGTAGCAGAAAGAGAAATGTATACACTGAGTACGCACTAGTTTTACCAATGGAAACCGCTATAATTGGAGTTCAGAATAAATTTAATGTGATCAAAAGTGAATTAGGTACCAGTGAATTAATCACCTTTTACATAGTAATTTCGAATCATTGCATTCCTTGCACCATCTTGCACGTAGGACCAATTCAAGGATTTCATAGAGATCTGGCAACCGATACTGGAAAGGCCCAATGTTTGTACATCCCCATTCTATTAGGAAGTTATAAAGTATCGGGAAACGAACAAGTCACTATAATTATAGAGCAAATAATGTATGGCCACTTATAGGGTTCTAACTCCGTATTTGCTAGGAACAAAAGTAAATTGACGTAATTCGATATAAACAAAGTAATTAGAACTGAATATACATACATAATATTTACAAAATGTGCATCGCAAATAAAATTATCATTCGAAAGCTATTTACATATACTGATATTTTGATGCTCTATTCAATTAAAACTTACATTCAATATTTTGAGGATTGATTTCCTGTCTGCACCTTTACACAAAAATGAGCTACAGGGCGATTTAAGCTGAATGAATGTGAGACATTCTTTGAATACTCGAAAGTTCATGAGAATGATTGCAACAAGTCTCACAGTGGCGTAGGTGAAGGGTTCACGGGACACTTCTTATCATATTATGCAGCTATTGATACTGTTTCCTGTTCCACCTTGTTCGAAAAATTTTTGAAGGCGAAGAACGTATTGAAAAAATATTAAATTTCACTTATCACTGGATGATTCGGGAACGAATCTGCTCCAATTTTCAACATAAAATAGGAAAATGATTCTTGATAATGATTTCATTCTTTTTTTGTGTTTCGACGGTTCTAAGTGACAGAAATTGTCCAGAAAACCTGTAACAGGGTGATTTTCATACAACATACGCCAACCATATATAATAGAAGAAAACTATAGTTTTGATGATAATTTCAAAATTGTACACGTAGAAAATGAAGGAATATAACTCCATCATTTTGAATCATTAGGAATCAAGAAACTCAAATATTCTAACATTTTACTTAACGATGAACTAGACCTCAATAGTTCACCACTGTTGAATTTTTAATAGGTAATAATATCAGTACCTCAGAGGTAAACTGTACTAAGTCCAATTTTGTCAAAAATGGGATATTTGTACCAAGTGACTTATAATTTTCTTTTTTTTTTATCGCTTGGAGCGCACGAAAGGGAATCCCTATAATGTTCAAAGAACATCGTGCGTTCCTAGGGAGGATAGGGATAGGAGGTAGGTATTGGAATTTTTTTGAACTTCTGGAGATTATATGTTGTTGGGAATACTTCCTCAGGCAATGAATTCCAGAGATGACTGATAGCGATTATAGACAGTTTTGAAAAGTATCAAGTCCAATGTCTGATCCGAGGTAAACAATACTTCAAGGACTTGGTACTCCGTCCATCGTATTATGTCCAATTGGGGGACTTAATATTATGTGTCCTGTTTTTGATCACATTGTTTTTACAGTTTTTTTCTTGTTTGGAATAGTCATCATTTCTTTCCTTCTATCAGTGTCGTTCACATCGTATTATTTGAGCAGTCGAGTTCTGTGTGATTCCTTTGTAAACATGAGTTTGAAAATACAAATAATTCTACAACGTGCTAAAGAGATTAATTCTACTAATGAAGACAATGATACTATTGGAAATGGTGAGTGACATGATTTTTCTTTGATTTTATAGTGCCAAAATTTCATGAGTTCAATTATATGTGAGTTTGTCTCTCAATACAGAGTCGAA